TCCTGATGACGCTGTCCGAAGTTCATCTCCATTTGCCTATGCCCTGCTTGAAGCTTCTTTCACGAATCCATCTTTGAGAGGATTCTACAACACTTCATTTGACACGTCCAGAATCTACCGTGCCATCTACGATGAAGTTAAAGAAAATTTGTCCAAGGATAGAAGTCGTAGACTCGCAGGATCTCTTTCCTTCATTTTTCAAGCAGGACTTCCTAGAATCACACCCATACAGAATGCTGTCTCAATCACAAATGCCATCAGTGAAATTCAGGGGGAAGAAGCTATTGTCTTAACCGATGACAAGGAAGAATACATCGAGCCTTACTTGGCATCTGTTAGCAAGGCAGTATCGTCCGCAGATGGAAGTTCAGAATCTCAAGCCCGCGCTGTAATTAGTGGTCTGTTCGGATATTTGGACTCCATCAATGCTCTAACTTACTCCAAATTATTGGAGTTTATATCAATCTTAGCCGGTGAACATCGTTTGGCTGTATATTCCACTTGCAAACCATCAAGTTTTGAAGCTATACCAAAACCTTAATCGAATGAAAGTGATAATTTTCAGTTACAAATAATTTTCATTCATTTCAAATTTCGTGTTTCAAAGATATCTTCAAGAATCGTATTCCTTTTAATTTTTGGATCAGTTTAAGAAATGTTATTATTACATCGGGATTTTTTCAAAAAGTTAAATTCTTTTCCTTTTGTAAGTTTGATTTTTATAATTCAACTTCCTATGCTTCTTAAAAGTCGAACGACTTCAGTTATTTTGCTGAGCATATATATTTCTATTTGTTAAAAACATTTATAAATAATAAAATTACTTTGACACTGGATTACGTTTTGTATATAAATTGAAATTATGAAATGTTTATGTTATTCGAAATCATTTCATAGACTAATCAGTTACAAGTGTTCATTCTGCAATATGGACATTAGTTTAACGGACTAATGGCATTAATAACTAACTACATCTTCTATTTAATTGAGTAGATGTAAATGAAATTCCTTTGATGACGAAAATGGTTTTTAATTATTAGACGAATTCTTGCAAGTAAAACTGCGCTTTAAATTAAAATGCATAACTCATTAATTCAACTTTCATTAACATTTCGCAAGAAATTAGTAAATAAATTATAATAAGTGCCTGTCAACAAATTCACTGTAAAAATCCGTATTTTGTGTTTGTTGTAATAAATCCGTAACTTGAATGATCTACACAATATTTCACCCCATCGTGTTTCTCGTATCTTCATGGCCCCACAAAATGTTTCGTCAATCATTTGCAGGAACTCTTTTTTTTTTTCAATGCTCTATCGGTTAACTGCAATGTAGTATATATTAAAAAATATAGTATTATTCACCAGTAAAAAATGTTTCCTAGTTTTCAGATGATAAGTGGTTTTCTGGTTATAGACATGAAAAATAAATCAATAAAAAATCAATAAGACACTATATAGGGACCGAAAGTCCTAGACTCTGTTTCAGCTGTTTCAAGGCAAATGCCCGAATGAAGATCTTCTTGTGGACAGTCACTAATAAGGTTGTAAAGGGCCCAAAATGGCCCGACAAGAGAAAAGATGTTCAAGTTACAGTTCTAAGTCAGGGCAAAGTTTCTGCAATGCCGCAATGCATAAGTACTTCGTAGTCCCATCTTTTTGAATTTTCATTCCTCTCTGGCGGTAAGGGTGTTAGCCAGGAGCTTGTGTCTAATTCACAAATTTGATGTTTAAGATTCATTGTCTTGACCTTTAATCTCTGCAATATTATCCTACAAATCCACACATGGCAATTTATCATTCTTCTTTAGCTTTCCTGCCTCTTCTGCCAGGGCATCAGAGGTCTCATTCTTATTAATTCCAACATGTGCTGGCACCACCCACTGCAAGATACATTTTTATGAATATTTTTTAATTGAAGGTGAGGATTTTGCGCAGTGCGTTGTAAATGTTCAGCACCAGTACCGAAGCTCCAGTACCGAAGTGAAGGCATATATGTTGTCTTCTTTTGAATACGAATCTAGGTTTTTGATTTCTTTGGCTGCTGGCTCATTCTTGGAGCAGGATTCAAGAAGATAACTTTTAATTTTCCTATTTTCGGGAAGTGCTGTGCTTTAATACCTGAGGATCACATACTTATTGTGCTCAAGTTCCATCTGTTGTCTAGTTGTTTCATCAAATTGCAATGTTGAGGATCGTTTGAGTTCGGTACTTTCGCTCCTCATTTGGAAGGCTTGACTGCGAATGTGATCTTTTCCACGACTTCAGATCTTATTCGTAAAATTGTTAAATTAGAGTTTCCTTCGAGTGGTTGTAGACATTCCCTTCTCTTATTTACACGTTATTATTAATTATTGCATTTGAGAGGATCACTTGAAATAATTTATTTTTATTTTTTCGATTTCAAAGAGAAATTTGATATGAACATCAACTGAAAGGATATGCGTCAAAATTTTCGAAAAATATATAGATTTGCGTAAAAATAATTATAACAGACATTTACAAAAATTTTAATTTGTCCTCTTTCCTCTATATTCTTAATGCAGATGTCACTAAAATCAGGCATGCTAAAAACAAGAAGTGGGGTATGAAAAGTTTTGTGTAGCTTATATTTAAAGGATCCTACTGTCAATAACGGTTTAAAGCATTGCTTTCCCTAATTTACATATTTTTATTAATAACTGTATTTGGCAGGGTCATTGTGTGAAACCTTAAAGGTTTTGCTTATATATTTTTTGGTTCCAAAGAGAAATTAGATATTATTGTTAGGTGAAAGGATATGTGTCAAAATTTAATAATGTATATAAAAGCGTAAAAATATTTATAATACAAATTTTTTTAAAAAAATAACATTTTCACACTTGCCTTTCGATAATCGCAGCTCAGATGTCACTAAAATCGCTAATGATGCAGAGAATGTATGGAGCAGGTAAAACTTTTTTTCTGTCTAATCTATTTTTAAAAGAACCTACAGACGACAGTGTTTTCATTACAGAAAAAAAATGGGAGAGAATTTCTCACCCTTTCTCAAAAACAGGGTGAGATTTCAAAAAGTTAAGTGAGATTTCTAAAAATTAAAAAANTTTTGGGGGGGGAGGGTCGTTTAGTATTTTTGTTTTCTTATGTTAATTTCAAATAAAAAAAGTTTTCCAAAACATGTGGGCTTAAAAATATTACAAAACTTCTTTCAGAATTTTTTTTAGTTTCTCCTTGTCTCTTTGCATTCTGAGAAAATCGGTGTTCAAAAAAATTCAATTCAAAAAATTGGTGTTAAAAATGTTTGTGCCTTCTATATTTAAAGGATCCTTTTGTCCATAACGGTTCAAGGCATTGCTTTCTTTTAACGGCATATTGTTATTAATGCCTGCATTTGAGGATGTCATTTGGCGGACACGTTAAAGATTTTATTCATTTATTTTTTTGAGTTTTATGGAAATTTTTTTGTAGAGATCCAATAAAGGCTTTTCAAATAATCTACCTAAGCCTTAAAGTTGTCACGTTAACATGCCATGCACAACCACGTGATTTGACAGAACTTGCAACTAATCACATAGTTTATTAGTTGGTTAGTTGATTAGTTTATTATTGGCTATCAGTAACTGTAAAATATATATTTTTCGGAGAACGCATTTCTTACATCTTAAGTCAGTGAGTTCAAATTTGAACCAGCCGGGTTGGTCGGCAAGTCGAGCTAACCGCAAATGTTTTTTGTGGTTTTCATCTCCATGTCACTCTAATAATTTTACTGAAAAAATTTTCTCCACAAAGGTGAGTTTGATTCAGGTGTTGCTTTTTTTTCCAGCTTGGGCTCAAACTTACCAGAATATGAAGTATTAGATTACGGATTAATGATACCTATAAAATAAAATTTATACCTGAATATCTAAAAATTTGGAAGCCAATTTAAATGCTATTTCCATGGTTCGTAAATTACACTTTTAGTTATTGGGCAATTAGAAAAGAAACTCTGATAGTTAAAACATATTACATTTGATGCACCTTAAATTTATAAAAATGACGTTAAATTATTCTATATTTGACAGAAACAGCATAAATGAATGCTATTACTAAGTAAATCAAATAAAAACTGAATAAAATTTAAAAGCAAATATAGAAGCCATGTCCATAGCTACGTTTCTTGTTAATCATTCTATATCTGACCAGTTTTACAGAATTTTTTTCAACAAACTTTCTTACATAAAGATTAAAACAGATAGAAAAGTGTAAAAACAAATAACGTGTGTTAATGCAAATGCATATTAAATTTTCTTAGAACTATATCTGATAAGGTATTTGTTTGACTGAAAATTATATTATTTGTGCATTGTTTTGCATGACACATAATAATAAATCCAATTTTCATAAATTAGTGCTTATATCCAATAAATGATTTAATGATAAATCTGGAGAATGAATACAATTCTTACGGAGCGCATGGAACTGGTTAGGTAAAAGAGTTCCTACTAGGTGCATCTCTACTATTTTATATTATAAAACCGTCGTTGAACAGACAAAAAATTTTGAGTTTACGACTACCTATGTTCAACTCCGTAGCCATGTAATTTTGAAATCAATCCGAAGTTTCACCGAATCCTTCCTTTGTATTATTATATACAATTTCTCCAAAGAAAAAAATAACACATTTCTATTTAGAATTGAATTTGATCTTATTTTTTATGTGTATAAACAATTATTCTGTACAGAAAGCTTTAAAAATTATTTTTGCAAAAAAAAAATATATATATATAGTTATTTTATTTTTTAAAATTTGATTTATTTTATAAAAAGTTCTTATAACTATATTTTGATCAAAATACAATTAATATGCTTTGAGTCTGTTGAGGTTTTCATTTTAGCTTTGTATTGTCGAAAAAGGTTTTAGTGAACTGAATATAATATTGTTTGGATTACCAGAAGTAATCATTCAACCTAATAAATTTAGTATTCTATTAAAAAGATTGAATAAAAAATCTTAATAATTATGAACCTACCTGAAGGATGTTAAACAGGGCAGGATGAATATCCCTTTCCCAATTTCCGGCGTTGGCTGATGTTCCACAAAGAGCTTGGTTGGTTAATAGCTCCAGAACCATCATTCCATAAGGCCCACATGTCATATGCTCTGCCCTCAATCTCTGCTTCACTACCAATGAATGGGTAAGCTTCGGGGGGTCTATATAAAGGTTGCAATCCAAGTTCAGACCTGTAAAACAAAATAAAAGTACTTTTTAATCTCCTACTCTGAGACAAAAGTATCCCGGGTCAATAAAAATTTTGAAGATTGCTTAAAAGTTAAAGAAATTTACTTCCAAGTGGCAAGCGTACCAAAGCTGTTTTAAGGAGCAGTGGAGAGTTTGTATTAGAAATTTAAAGGTAGTAAGGCTAGTTAGTGCAGTTTATAATTTTAGGACCATTTTACTAACATTATTGGGTAAAAGATAAGTTGAATTTTATTTTAAAAAAATAACTTAATTTCATTTTAACTTAAAGCAATTTAACAGTTTCATCCTTAACGCAATGATAACTTGGTCCTAAAAATTAGAGGCTAGCTTCGATACAAGTTCGAAGAGACTTTTTTTTTTCGAAAAATAAAAATGTTGTTCTCAGTTTAAATGCGTCAAATGGATTATATGATAATAAGGTTAGTTGTACTTTAAAACAGCTCAAATATAAAAAAACAATTCAAAGAAAAAACGGAGAAGAATAGTAATTTTTATCTAAAATTATACCAAGCTATACAGTTTGACAAATAATAAACAAATCTTTAATTGCTCACCTTGGTGTTATCTTCGTCGTTGATGAAAGAAATGAAAATTCACAGATAACAGCTTTGTTATCATGCGAGATCAAGACATTATCTGCTTTAAGATCTAAGTGACAAACCTCATTTGAGAGCAAATATGTTAAACCACAGAGAGTATCATAAAGCCATGATTTTATGCAGTCTAGGGCATTTGGTTGACTCAAAAATGGCCTGTCTAGAGCTGCATGTAGCGAAGTGTCCCGTTGCACGAGCATCACAAAAATTGCTACACCTGGGTCATTAAAGCAACAGTATTCGAGGAGAGGGATAATGTTTGGCTGAGATAATTTTGGCCAAATTTCAGTTTCATTTGGTTTGCCTACTTCTAGGGCGACAACTTTAACTGTAACTTCTCGACTGGAGAAGTCAATCATTTTGTACACATCGCCAAAGGCGCCAGACCCAAGCTTGTCGACGCATACAAACTGATTGGCTTCTAGAATTTTCATGGCATCTCTTCTGTGTTGGCAGTATTCTCCTGATAAATCAGGGGAGGGGGGTAGGTTCGCCTTGATCCCAATCATCATCACTCTGCGTGATATCACCGAATCTTCTCATTTCTCAGTCTTTTTATCAAAACATAGGAACACAATTCCCAAAAACAATTTGCTGTTTAGCAAGAACTCTAATAAGCACATTCAATCTTAAAAGTACAAGTTAGAATTGCCAACAATGCTTCAGAAAGGGTTTATATAGTGATTAAATAATGAATATGATTTATTGTTCAGGAAATAACAATTGAAATTAAATTGTTAAGAAGTAGTCAAATGTTTTGAACAATGAAATTTCCTTTAAGTTTTATATTGCTAAATTTTAAAATAGCAAGTCATTGTTTAAAAAAAATATAGTAAAATGACTTTTAAGCGAAATATTTATACTGTTGAAATTTCGCCATAAAATTGTACTAAAAATCACTATATCGAAGCAAGAAATATTTAAGCACTTGTAAATTAAACGTATCTATACATCCTAATTATATTTATTTAGAATCTTAATTAAAAATAATTTAAAATAGAATAATAATGAAAGTGCGTGTCTTGATATTTAAGCTAGAAAAAGGTAGAGATTGAAACCTTTCAAATCCTCAGAAGATTAAGAATTAAAAAAAATCAAAACCAATTTTATTGCTATGAAATATTTCTAATAATCGACTTTTTAATCAACTAAAGCTACATCAGAGACCACTTTTGGGGGGTAGGCATTAATAAGTTAAGTTTAAAAATAAAACACAACTGTCTAATTACAAATGCAAACATGGTACTGAGTAAATAGGATTGTTCTCTATCCCCCTCCAAACACATGATTCAGGTAAAAATAGTTCTATACTTAGACAACCAAACGTATTTTATGCATGCACTAATAATGGTTGTAATGTTAAGAAGTACTACACCTTACATTGGTTCACCTTACATTTAATATGCTGTCATTTTATTTAAATACTTTACCCTATATTTAAAAGAAGATATAACAGTACATTATATTAACTTCATCAATAAACCAAATGAAAAAGTTAGAAAGTACAGCATTAACGCTAAGTACAGCATAGTAGCCTAGTCTAACGTCAACCAGTCCACATACAACTAATATCATTAATTACCTTTTTAAATTTAATACATAACTCATAGTGAGTAACTCAAGTAACTCATAATGAGTCTTTAAAAATACTAAGAGTTAACAATAATAATCACTTCTCAACAATGATTTGTCGTACTTTGATAGTTTTTTTTTATTTATTTATTTATTTTCTTTATTGGATAAATGATTTTCTGCTTTTTAAGTTATTTACTGGTTTCTTTAATTCGGATAAAGATAAGAACGGTGATGGTGGAACATTTTTATTAAATCAATTATTTGTGATAGTACACAGAATAGATCAAGATAGCAAAAACTAATTGGGATGGTCTTCGCCTGTCAAAGGGCGTAGTGCAGAAAAAGAAAAAGACACAAAATGTGGGAAGCACAGATATTTTTTTCTTAATCTGCGTCAAATCATATGATCATTGATTTTAGCGACACCTGTGCCAACTAGCTACGGCGAAATGGATGAAGAAAAAATTTTTTGCAAATGTTAAATAAATATTTTTAGCATAAATATGTTTTTGAAACTTTTGACACGTATCCTTTGTCTTGGATTAATATCAAAGTTCTATCGTGAATAAAAAATTATTAAAAATCATTAAAGTGTCCGCTTAATGACCTCCTCAAATGAAGCAATTAATAATAATTAGAAAACAAGGGAGAGCAATTCTTATAACTGATATAGACTATAACAGACATATCAATGATATAAATGGTGGGCTACACATTTTTTTTCTTAACACGTCATATTTACACCATCAGCGATTTTAGCGACACCTGTGCCAATTAGCTAAGGTGAAATGGAAGAAACGGAATGGGTGAAACGGAAAATTTTGACACATATCCTAAGACTGGGAATTTATATCAAAGTTTTCTTGAGATCAAAAAAATTATGAAAAATCATTATAAAGTGTCCGCTAAATGACCCCCTCAAATGAAGCATCTAATAATAATTACAAAACAAGGGAGATAATTAGAAACCGGTAGGAGGTGCTTTAAGCTAAATATTCGCGGGGCTGGTATGTGTAGCGTGGTGCGGTTGGTAGAGCTGTGGACAAGGTAGATATGTAGTCCCGGAAGTAATCGGTTCGAAACCCTTCAAGGGTCATCTTTAAATTTTTTTTATTTATCTTTTATTATGTTTTTTAATATACTTTTCGAAAATTTAACGTGAATTAAGTGTTCTGTATACAGAAATAACTGTTTTTCCTTTCTGAAATTGCGAATAATAGCTAATAAATTAATAATTTTTATTTATTTATTTATTTTATTTTATGTTAATTTGAAACCTCTTTTTCAATATTATTAAGTGAATAAAGTGTACTATATATGAAAATAATAATTTTTCTTTGTTAAAGAGCGAATAATGGCTGAAAAAGGGACAAAAATCGTATCGGGAAGCACGCACACATCACACCCCGTTACTACCCATAATATTAACCCATAAATTTCTAGCTCAGCCCGAAATTAGAATTTAATGCATCAAACAATTGTACCAAAGGATTTTTATAGACTAATTAGTGGGCCCACAATGGGCCAAAATAAGTTTTGTTGACTAACCGGGAGAAGGAGTTTTAAGCTAAATATTCACAAGGCTGATATGAGTAGGATGGCGCAGTTGGTAGCGCTGTGGGCAAGGTGGATATGTAGTCCCGGAAGTCCTGTGTCGGAAATCCTTCAAGGGTCGACTTTAAATTTTTTATTATTTATCTTATATTATGATTTTTAATATACTTTTCGACAATTTAACGTGAATCAAGTGTTCTGTATATAGAAATATCTATTTTTCCTTTATGAAATAGCGAATAATAGCTAATAAACTTATAAATTTTGGATAATTTTTATTTATTTATTTATCTTATATTATGTTATTTTTTTAACTTGTTTTTCAATATTTTTAAGTGAATAAAGTGTTCTATATATGAAAATAATTATTTTTCTTTGTTAAAGAGCGAATAATTGCGTAAAAAGGGACAAAAGTCGTATCGGGAAGCACGCACATATCACATCCCGTTACTCCCTATAATATTAACCTATATATTTCTAACTCTGCCCGAAATTAGAGTTTAATGTAACAAGCAAATGAACCAAAGCAGTTTTTTATAAACCAATTAGTGGGCCCTCAATAGGCCAAAATATGTTTTGTTGACTAACTGGGAGAAGGTACTTTAAGCTAAATTTTCACGCGGCTAGTAGGTGTAGCGTGCCGCAGTTGGTAGCGCTGTGGGGAAGGTCGATATGTAGTCCCGGAAGTCCAGGGTTCGAAACTGTTCAAGGGTCGACTTTAATTTTTTTATTATTTATCTTATATTATGATTTTTAATATACTTTTCGACAATTTAACGTAAATCAAGCGTTCTGTATATAGAAATATCTATTTTTCCGTTATGAAGTAGCGAATAATATCTAATAAACTGATAAATTTTGGAAAATTTTTATTTATTTATTTATATTATTTTATGCATTTTTTCAACTTCTTTGTCAATATTTTAAGTGAATAAAGTGTTCTATACATGAAAATAATTATTAATCTTTGTTAAAGAGCGAATAATGGCTGAAAAAGGGACAAAAGTCGTATCGGGAGGCACGCACACATCACACACCGTTACTCCTTATAATATTAAACTATAAATTTCTAACTCTGCCCGAAATTAGAGTTTAATGTATCAAGCAAATGTAACAAAGCATTTTTTTATAAACCAATTAGTGGGCCCTCAGTAGGCCAAAATATGTTTTGTTGACTAACCTGGAAAAGGTGCTTTAAGCTAAATATTCACGCGGCTAGTATGTGTAGCGTGCCTCAGTTGGTAGCGCGGTGGGCAAGGTTGATATGTAGTCCCGGAAGTCCAGGGATCGAAACTATTCAAAGGTCGACTTTAATTTTTTTATTATTTATCTTATATTATGATTTTTAATATACTTTTCGACAATTTAACGTGAATCAAGCGTTCTGTGTATAGAAATATCTATTTTTCCGTTATAAAGTAGCGAATAATAGCTAATAAACTGATAAATTTTGGATAATTTTTATTTATTTATTTATTTCATTTTATGCATTTTTTTAACTTCGTTGTCAATATTTTTAAGTGAATAAAGTGTTCTATATATGAAAATAATTATTTTTCTTTGTTTAAGAGCGAATAATGCCTGAAAAAGGGACAAAAGTCGTATCGGGAGGCATGCACACATCACTATCCGTTACTCCCTATAATATTAACCTATAAATTTCTAACTCTGCCCGAAATTAGAGTTTAATGTATCAAGCAAATGTACCGAAGCATTTTTTTATAAACTAATTAGTGGGCCCTCAATAGGCCAAAATATGTTTTGTTGACAAACCGGGAGAATGTACTTTAAGCTAAATATTCACGCGGATAGTATGTGTAGCTTGCCGCAGTTGGTAGCGCGGTGGGCAAGGTTGATATGTAGTCCCAGAAGTCCAGGGTTCGAAACTATTCAAGGGTAGACTTTAAATTTTTTTATTATTTACCTTATATTATGATTATTAATATACTTTTCGACAATTTAACGTGAATCAAGCGTTCTGTATATAGAAATATCTATTTTTCCGTTATGAAGTAGCGAATAATAGCTAATAAACAGACAAATTTTGGATAATTTTTATTTATGTATTTATTTTATTTTATGCATTTTTTTAAACTACTTTGTCAATATTTTTAAGTGAATAAAGTGTTCTATATATGAAAATAATTATTTTTCTTTATCAAAGAGCGAATAATGGCTGAAAAAGGGACTAAAGTCGTATCGGGAGGCACGCACACATCACACCCCGTTACTCCCTATAATATTAACCTATAAATTTCTAACTCTGCCTGAAATTAGAGTTTAATGTATCAAGCAAATGTACCAAAGCATTTTTTTATAAACCAATTAGTGGGCCCTCAATAGGCCAAAATATGTTTTGCTGACTAAGCGGGAGTAGGTTAATTTTTTTATTATTTATCTTATATTATTATTTTTAATATACTTTTCGACAATTTAACGTGAATCACGCGTTCTGTATATAGAAATATCTATTTTTCCGTTATACAGTAGCGAATAATAGCTAATAAACAGATAAATTTTGGATAATTTTTATTTATTTATTTATTTTATTTTATTCATTTTTTAACTTCTTTGTCAATATTTTTAAGTGAATAAAGTGTTTTATATATGAAAATAATTATTTTTCTTTGTTAAAGAGCGAATAATGGCTGAAATAGGGACAAAAGTCGTGTCGGGAGGCACGCACACATCACACCCCGTTACTCCCTATAATATTAACCTATAAATTTCTAACTCTGCCCGAAATTAGAGTTTAATGTATCAAGCAAATGTACCAAAGCATTTTTTTATATACCAATTAGTGGGCCCTCAATAGGACAAAATATGTTTTGTTGACTAAGCGGGAGAAGGTGCTTTAAGCTAAATATTCACGCGGCTAGAATGTGTAGCGTGCCGCAGTTGGTAGCGCGGTGGGCAAGGTTGATATGTAGTCCCGGAAGTTCAGGGTTCGAAACTATTCAAGGGTCGACTTTAATTTCTTTATTATTTATCTTATATTATGATTTTTAATATACTTTTCGACAATTTAACGTGAATCAAGCGTTCTGTATAAAGAAATATCTATTTTTCCGTTATAAAGTAGCGAATAATAGCTAATAAACTGATAAATTTTGGATAATTTTTATTTATTTATTTACTTTATTTTATACATTTTTTTAACTTCTTTGTCAATATTTTTAAGTGAGTAAAGTGTTCTATATATAAAAATAATTATTTTTCTTTGTTAAAGAGCGAATAATGGCTGAAAAAGGGACAAAAGTCGTATCGGGAGGCACGCACACATCACACCCCGTTACTCCCTATAATATTAACCTATAAATTTCTAACTCTGCCCGAAATTAGAGTTTAATGTATCAAGCAAATGTACCAAAGCATTTTTTTATAAACCAATTAGTGGGCCCTCAATAGGCCAAAATATGTTTTGTTGACTAAGCGGGAGAAGGTGCTTTAAGCTAAATATTCACGCGGCTAGTATGTGTAGCGTGCCGCAGTTGGTAGCGCGGTGGGCAAGGTTGATATGTAGTCCCGGAAGTCCAGGGTTCGAAACAATTCAAGGGTCGACTTTAATTTTTTTATTATTTATCTTATATTATGATTTTTAATACACTTTTCGACAATTTAACGTGAATCAAGCGTTCTGTATATAGAAATATCTATTTTTCCGTTATAAAGTAGCGAATAATAGCTAATAAACTGATAAATTTTGGATAATTTTTATTTATTTTTTTATTTCATTTTATGCATTTTTTTAACTTCTTTGTCAATATTTTTAAGTGAATAAAATGTTCTATATATAAAAATAATTATTTTTCTTTGTTTAAGTGCGAACAATGGCTGAAAAAGGGACAAAAGTCATATCGGGCGGCACACAGACATCACACCCCGTTACTCCCTATAATATTAACCTATAAATTTCTAACTCTGCCCGAAATTAGAGTTTAATGTATCAAGCAAATGTACCAAAGCATTTTTTTATAAACCAATTAGTGGGCCCTCAATAACCCAAAATATGTTTTGTTGACTAAGCGGGAGAAGATGCTTTAAGCTAAATATTCACGCGGCTAGTATGTGTAGCGGGCCACAGTTTGTAACGCGGCGGGCAAGGTTGTTATGAAGTCCCGGAAGTCCAGGGTTCGAAACAATTCAAGGGTCGAGTTTAATTTTTTTATTATTTATCTTATATTATTGACTAAGCGGGAGATGGTGCTTTAAGCTAAATATTCACGCGGAAAGTATGTGTAGCGTGCCGCAGTTGGTAGCGTGTTGGCAAGCTTGATATGTAGTCCCGGAAGTCCAGGGTTCGAAACTATTCAAGGATCGACATTTATTTTTTTATTATTTATCTTATATTATGATTTTTAATGTAATTTCGACAATTTAACGTGAATCAAGTGTTCTGTATATAGAAATATCTATTTTTCCGTTATGAAGTAGCGAATAATAACTAATAAACTGATAAATTTTGGATAATTTTTATTTATTTATTTATTTCATTTTATGCATTTTAACTTCTTTGTCAATATTTTTAAGTGAATAAAGTGTTCTATATATGAAAATAATTATTTTTCTTTGTTAAAGAGCGAATAATGGCTGAAGAAGGGACAAAAGTCGAATCGGGAGGCACGCACACATCACATCCCGTTACTCCCTATAATATTAACCTATAAGTTTCTAACACAGCCCGAAATTAGAGTTTAATGTATCAAACAATTGACCAGATCATTTTTTCTTAAACTAATTAGTGGGCCCTCAATAGGCCAAAGTATGTTTTGTTGACTAACCGGGAGAAGGTGCTTTAAGCTAAATATTCACGGGGCTGGTATGTGTAGCGTGGCGCTGTTGGTAGCACTGTGGGTAAGGTTGACATGATGTCCCGGAAGTCCTGGTTTCGAAACCCTGCAAGGGTCGACTATAAAAAATTTTTATTTATTTTATAATATGTTTTTTAATATCAATTAGAAAACAAGTGAGAGCAATTCCTATAACCGAAATTGACCAGAGTAGACATAAAATGCGGGCTACACAGATATTTTTTTCCCGCGTCATATCATATTTACACCATCATCGAATTTAGCGACACCTGTGCTGAATATCTAGAGTGAAACAGACGAAAAAAAATTGTTTTGCAAATGCTTAATAAATATTTTAGAAATTTTTGACTCCTCTCCTTTGACTCGGTATTTATATCAAAGTTCTCTTGTGAACCAAAAAATTATTAAAAATCATTCTAGTGTCCGCTAAATGACCTCCTCAAATGAAGCAATTAATAATAATTAGAAAACAAGGGAGAGCAATTCTTTCAACTGAAATAAACCATAGTAGACATGAATTGTGGGATACACATTTTTTTTTAACCCGCGTCATATCATATTTACACCATCATCGATTTTAGCGACACCTGTGCTAACTAGCTAGGGTGAAAGGGATGAAAAATGTTTTTTGCTAATGTTAAATAAATATTTTTAGTTTTTGAAAATTTTGACACCTCTCCTTTAACTTGGTATTAATATCAAAGTTCTCTTCTGAACCAGAAAATTATTAAAAATCATTAAAATGTCCGCTAAATGTCCCCCTCAAATTAAGCAATTAATACAAATATGATATGAAGTTTTTTAAACAATTCAATGTTTATTTTTTTCTATATCTTTATAGACCTTGATCTCCTTTGTTTTCTAATTATTATACAATTTGGATCAATTTATACAATTTTGTGCCAAATTTTCTTAAGACCTTCTTAAGACAAAACTTTCTTTAATTTCTTTTCTTTGAGTGCCAAATTTCTTAGGATCTGAAAATGCGTGATGAAATTTTTCTAACCTCTTTTTACCTCAAATTTAATCTTTTTCTTACCGAGAAGAGCATTTTAAATGTAAAAAACAAGGAGGATTTTATGATCTTACAGAAGCGTTGTTTTTATTCCTTGTTCACTTTTCTGCTACTAGGCATAAAAGTCTTCACTCTCCTTATGTGCTTACATAATATCCAATAATTATGTATAATTTTCGCAATTTGTTTGTAATCGATATTTGTTGTTGTCGGTAATATCGTATATATAATGAAACACGATAAAAAATTTTACGACACATGGTATTCGCGATATGTCCTGAGAAGGTATTTTTTAAATATTGTAGCGTTAAATATTGTTATATCAACCAAAATCAATTAATTTCTTACTGTTGTCTTTTTTTTCCAATTCATTTCAAAAAAAGAAAAGAACCATGTAAAAATTTGAAACATTTTATTTTATTCTCATATTCTTGAAGTACACGATAATAAGGATGGTCAGGCGAATCTTGTGAAACTATCGTTTCAACATGTGGGAACTCTGGTAACAGGTAGAAGATTTTTTTCGATTTTTTCCTCCCTAGTTTATGGACTAGCTTTTTAACCAAGCAAAGAATACCAATAGTCAGAAAAAGTGTTATTCCAATGTACGCAATGAATAATGTTGCGTTCGACATCTGCAAAAGAAATTTGAAATAAGTCAAAAATTTTAATTTAGTTTAAAAAAAATAGTCAGCTCATCCTAAAATGTGTTCCACGGAACCCGAGGGTTCCACAGAAGGGTCAAAGGGGCACCAACTGTACTCTCTCTGAAATGAGCTATTCCCTACTGCGATTGTAGGGGAGAAAAAAGTTTTCTTTTTTATTTATTGTTGGTGTGTTCCGCATTTTCATACCATTGGTAAACAGTACTGTACTATTCATTAAAATATTTCTTGGAGAATACATTTATATCAAAGAATTTCGCACATTTCGACCAAGAAAAAAAGAATTGAATGGCGGGAGCAGCGTACCCAACTGTGCATATAGAGTTGTCCAACAACTGGTTCACTGGTGACGTACAACCTGACTGTCACTTTGCTTCTTCTGCGCATGCACTGGATGTTAGTTCAAATAACGTTCTGCTAAATCTGATTATTTTGCTCACCCTATAAGTTGCAATACAATATATTTGTCACATTCGCATGACGTAATTTTGATCTCGTCTTTTAACTATAAACAAAAAAAGATTTCACATTGTTTCACATGATTAAAAGTAAATCCACAAAACATAACTATTGTTTAAAACTTGGCCAAAGGTTTAAAATAACAATGATTCATTACTGTTAAAAGAGATACATTTCCATTACAGATTATTGTCATTCCAAATTTTTTTGGGTGCATTGTCTTGAATTTTATTCAAAGAGACTTGCGAATTGTGCATTTTAAATCCTGAAATGGATTAAGAGATTAGAGCGATATTTTGCTAATTCGAGCTCCTGCTCTGGATGCAAGAGTGGTAACACCAACACTGCATCATGAACAAGTATTTCGTTAATTTTTCTTTCTGAAACGTAATTACATAGTAAGACTTGAGTTACAAAGATGAATTTCGTTAATTTTTCACCTTTGAAAGGAAATTTTTTGCTAAAAACGCCAACATTTACTTACTAGCAAACTGCTATACTTACTATAATACTATGCTATAGCAATAATAATATAAATCTTTAAAAATCCAATGAGGATTACAGTAATTGCTAAACTGTACCATCTAATCCCAGAAAGCATGTAGCCTAGCGGCAACCTTCTATCGGAATTTTCTTTTTATCGTCATGAAAATGTTTGTACTAAAAACCTTTTTTCAATAAAGCAAAAATATTGCACCTTTCATCCTAAGAGGATTAAAAATTATTTTTTAAAGCTTTTTTAAAAAGTATAGTCGCCCAGGTGAAAGGGTCACTTAAGTCCATAATGGCGTTTTAGTTGACATCACACTGGCGAAAGAATCAAATTTGCATTGTCTATTAAAATTTCATGACAAGGTAGATTTTAGCTGAGCATAGAAGACTTTGCGAAAAGAAACCTTATAATTACCTAGATTTAAAATTATTTTCATCTTGAGACTAGCTTTATCAAAGGAATTTTTCAATCTTGAAAATCCAAAGTCAAACTCGATTTAAGGTTTTTATATAGAAGGTTACAAGGTTTTGGATTAGGGTAATGTGCGTAGAAAAGAGCAGATTGTCACAGATCTTGTTTTTAGGTTAGAAGGTTTACACGTAAACTGCGTACCTTTTCAGGTTTACATTAAAAGGTTTTTGCTGAACGAAAATAAGCCTTATTTTGTTATCTGGGAATACTACCATAAATTTTAACAAAGAAAAAATGTAGAAAAATATCTGTTTCTCTTTTCATCATTGTATATTTAAAAAATAATAATAATAATAGTCTATCACTTACCTTTATTCGTTTCAACGAAATACCTCATGAGTGTTACGACGAACTTTAACGAACGAAATGAAATTTTAATGATTAATTTTGTATAATATAATATAATGAGGGAAATAGCATTGAGAATGTCACATTTTGCCGATAACAGGTGTTGGAAATTCATTTGTCCTGTGTTTTAGTCTGATATATGTCACGGAAATATGATCGCAATGAATAACTTTCAGTTTATGAAAGTAAAAAAAGTTATAAAGACAAAAAAATGAGATAAACTATTTTCATGATGTAGAGGGAGAAAAAAAGCTAAAAATTTTGATTTACTAATCAGATTTTCAGATATAAGGACTCAATCTTAATGGTTTGATGCTTATTAATTTTAGCTAATGTTATTTTAAGTTATGATGTCTGACCCTAAAATTTTCTTTCTCTGAATAAACATACCATTTTTTTTATACATTTAGATTCTCTTAAATTCAAAGAAGAAGTAAAAGATAGCCGCAATTCCAAAAAAGTAAAAAAAATTACCCCTCTAGTTTAGGCGAAATTCTTGTCAGAAATCATGAACTTCTTGCTTATTTTGTCATCTGAAAAGTCATATTTTTAGATCTGTATTTCTGAAGAATTAGTTGACCGATTATATTTAAATTTTTCATTTAAAATTACGTAGATTAAAATGGTCTAAAAATTTGTAATACACTGTACGATTTGAAATTTTTTCAACAATTATTAAAATAAAGAATAATAAATTATTAAAAATAATTTTTTTACATGGAATTATTTCAGATAAGCGAGTGATACAATTGTGTGTAAAAAGTTTGCCTACTTTATTTATTTAGCAATATTTTTTAAATATATCAATAGTTGTTAAAAAAAAACATTTAACTTGTAAAAAAACGGATAAAAAGTTTAGCATTCCTAGTAATCAATTTTTTTTCTTATAACATTTATTATATCGCTTGCTAATTTTTTTGTAAGAAATAATTGCTTAAACATGATCAAATGATCCAAAACATTAATTTTTTTAAAAAATCGTTTGGAGTTGAAAAAATAAATTTATTAAATGGATGAAACTAAAAAAAAGTTATAACGATCAGTTTCCAATTTCTTCTATGCATGTAAAACAAGTCTGTTTAAAGAATAATAACAAGAACTGAAAAAAAAGTTTTTTTTTTTTTCTAACTTACTGATGAGGTGGAACGTTTCTTAAAAAGTCAAAAGACTTTTCCTTTCTTTGCATGGGGAGAGGGGGGATAAGTGTTTAAAAATACTCTAACAAAAAACGACTGCGAAAACTTCTGAATCGTTTGTGATCGTTTTCTCTTTGACCATCTGCTTTTACAACAACGCCCTATTTACCATGCCTTCCTTTCTGACCCCATTTTATGTAGAGTTTCGATATTCCCTTCCCTTCCCCTCATCAAAAAAGGGGGCTTTCCCACGGTGCTGCTACCTTCAAAGAAGCAGCCCAAGGACATATGGAGGCATATGGTCTTCTCAGGTGTATAAAGTATTGAAATTAAATAAGCAACATCCTGTTTACACATTTCAAGAGACTGCTCCCCAAGCACTCTATGAGGGATGCTGTTTGTAAAATTATGAGCTAAGTCGATATTCGATATTTTTGTTGGAAAAAAATTATGTTTAGAAATTAGCATTTAAATTTCTTGCAATCTAACATCTTACATAAATTTCAAATTACAAATAACTTGTCTACGATTAATAATATGAAATATTCACACTATGTTGTAGAACAGGGATGTCAAACTCAAAAGCTAACTTGGGCCAAATAAACAATGCTTAACTTTAGGTGGGCCGCAAAAAAAAATCAATCTTCATAGAAACAAATATTTTTATTTTGAATATTTATTTTGATACTTGACATCTCTTCTCTGCTACTATCTTTCCTATTTCGGAAGAAATTTAATTGGCCGAGACTTTCAAAATTGACCCAACGTGACAGTTATTAATACAGTTTCGGACAGGAGATTTATTTCCATTCATAACAGAAAATAATTGCTCGCACTGAATAAGTACTTCCAAACATGGAAATAATTTCATATGCAAATTTTCAAGTATTTTCAAACCTTGCCGGTAAATATTTGTAAAATTCAAGCATACCCACTTCAATGAATTTTGCCTTCAAATTTGAGTCGCATTGAATCACAATCATTTCCATTTGCATGTTACTGGGTACTGAGTCTATATTTATTGAGAAAATCGACGAAAACAAACAAAATTTGTCTTCCAAAGAATTAAAATCTTTAAACCTTGTTTCAAATTCTGTTCCAAGATTTGAAAATTTTTCTGCTTATTTTTGATACGATGCAGTATCCCTGGAATGGCAGGTGCCGCAAGCCAATTCAAATTTTGCATTTTCGTACAATTTAAAATGATCCGTATAGTTTATAAATAAAGTTCATTATAATTTATTATAAATAAAGTTATGCTAGTTTCCTTTCTAATTCACATTTCTATTTTATTTTTACTTTGCGTCGGATATATTGATTAGGCCGCAAAAATGTTCATCTCGGGCCGCATGCGGCCCGTGGGCCGCGAGTTTGACACCCCTGTTGTAGAACATAGACTAGTAATTTTGAACCCTATCCAAAAGACCAGGGAACTTCTGGATCAAATATTGAGAGAAATTTGCCTTCGTGGAGGACTTTTTCACGGAACTAATCGCATGTGTGTTACGTCAAGAGGAAAATCACGAAAACCTCTCACGTTTAGCCAGATGTCAAGGGTATTTCATTCATTGTAAAGAAAAAAAATTTACATTACAGCAAAATTGTATGTTTATAATTTTGTACATTTAATGAGTGCTCAACCTGCGGTGTAGGAACTTGATGTGGCCCGCACCTTTAACTTCAATAAAGATTAAAAAATCACGGAAATTATAACATTCAAATGTCTAAGTAATACTGATTTAAGCTATGAAACAATTTAAATTTTTTATCATATTTTTTTCCTTCTCCTTTTGAAATTGCTTTTTTTTTTTTCTTCTTTCCCTTAAAGTTTATCGAACGAGAACATGTTTAAAATAAAATTATACCGGGTCCGAGTACCCGGTGAAAATAGAATTCCGCTGGTTTCAGATACCCGGCAAATATTTTATTTGTTACCCAATCAGTACGCCATAAAATTTGATTTTATTACCAGACCGATTAAGGGTACTCGCCGAGTATTATAACATTTATGCCTAAAAATTATTCCCAGAGTGATTGAAAATTAAAATTGAGCTATAATAAGCACGCCTTCCAGTATGTTACCGATGATCAATTTTATTTATACATGCTTTTTTTTAATATCAAAAATAAATTAATAATTTATACTGAAAATGCAATAAAATGTTCTTAAGTGAGTTTTTTGTTGAGTTATGTAAACTGCTGTTTGTAGAAAATGCAACACCATGAAGGAATCATCAGAATCAAATGAAATATTATTTTAATAATGGAT